AATGTGCAATCAATCGCAGGAAAATGCAATTGTAATCCGGTTACAATTCATCTCAAAACAACTTCATCTTTCAGTTGTTTTCAATTTCTTGTATACAACCAAATAATTTAAGTTAGTCTTTGGTAATAGTGCGAGATAAATTATTTCTATAATATAATATATATCGTGAACTCAATATGACACAATTTTGTGATAACAAAATTGGAGTTGAGATTGTCATAATTAATTTTAGATTCAGTTCTCGTAGAAACCATTTCGAGTCACAAGATCCAAGTCTTCTATCTCCTCAAAATCGCAAATTTTATTATCCAAAATTATTCGATAGCGTTCCGTTCACCTCGGCGTATATCGACAGCCGTCTCGGCGGCGAAGCGGCCAAATCGCAAAGTGAACAGTGATATTCGTAGATGGCTCAGCTTAACGTCGCCGATGCAATATCGCGTCCGTGTATTTCCACTTTCACGAACTACATCTTTGAACGAGACTGAACTTGTCCGCTTCTATTTGTTGCCGGTAGACACACATACACATGTCGCAAACACATAACTCCGTTCTCTTCGTCGGAGAATTGTTATCGCTTACATTTCCGCGCGTATGTGCGTGTGATGGTCGTGTATACATGCATTCGAGAGTTTTTCGCTTGAGCACGAACGGAAAGAGCGTCTTTTCATGCACTCGCTTACCCGCGACAGTAACATCCGTCCACGCGAACTTCCGCGATCGCGACGGAGTTACGCGTTTCTTGCAAGCAAGAGATTTTCAGATACGAACTACGGTACACACGCGATTTGAATGACATTCTAACACAGCGCGGAAAGTCGACGGAAAAAGTCGGGAAGGATATACTCCATCGTGAATGTTGCCGGCAACTTTTGGGTTAATGAAGCTTGCACGTTAGCAACTTCCTATCCATCTCATAGTTCTATGGAGAGGGAAAGAATGGAAAGGTTACAATCAAAATATTACGTTTTTTCTCGATTTTGACATTTAGAACTGCGCGATAGTTGTGTGTGTGTGTGTTCTTCTGATAAAATATTTTTCTATAGAATATAAAGTACACATATTATTAGAAACTTCAATTTTTTTCTAATTTAATAAAGTCGAATATAAAATTATCGTTTAAAAAATTATTAATTTAAAAATTTTTAAACAAGATAATTTTTCGAGCAAGTATGGTAGAGATGATAAAGTGAAAGAGCTAATGAATGGAATCTCGTATTCTCCTTTATGTAATTCTATTCTCGTAAATTAAAATATTACGATATCGACATATTGAGATATTTAAGCTCTTCGATGGGAGTATTTTAATTCGAATATTCTTCACGATAATTTAAAGCATACGTTTCCGTTGGTGTCAGCACTCGAGCTATGTCCCAATTTTTTGCGCTTTAAGCTCTCACGACCTATTCACGGTGCTTAACACAAAGAACGATCGGAAAAATATTTTTCCCCGGCAAAGATTCTCTTATCGATTTCTCGCGTACGTGTCCGTAATTAGGTCAAGAGAATGGATATGTCTACGAATCGGATCGGCCATTATCGAAATCCGTTGATCGTAAATTTCTAGCGATATCATCCAGCACTGCTACAGATGCCAAGACCGACGACTGTCGATTAGCGGATTAGTATTATCTTCCTTCGTCGTATTATCATTGGCGTAACAGGAATCAAGGGAAGGTAAAGGTCCTTGTGTTTACGATCGAAGATATTGTGCCGAAGTTCGTTCAGATCGCGTCATCAACAGTTACGTATCGTCGTGATCGTTTAACGGCGATCTTAATTTTATGTCGATCCCGTTTACAATATCCTGCAAAGATATGAGAGTAATCGCCCCTCACAATACCGTCATTCCCGGATGAGATTACCGTTAATATTTTTAACCATCTTTGATCAAATTTAAACCTTGATATTAGAATTGAAATAATGTATAACGAATTTGGAACTATAGCTTCTTAAAAGCGCTTTCGAAGATAAGTCAAAGTACACGTTGAACCCTCGAAAGATACTAGCAGTTATTCCCGTTAATGGCGTCAAAGTTGATCGAAACCCTTTCGGCTATGTCGTAAGATTAAAGTCCTGAAACGTTGATTTTCCGCTCCATTAAGCTCTAGGACCTTATTACAAAGCTTCAAGACTCTAAGAGTATAACAAAAATCTCTCCGCTCTTTACGCCGACAGACAGAATCAATAATTATATACATTATTATATATATTGTTATATACATACAATTATATACATTATTTTTTTTTTTCTTAATTTCTTCATTAATAATGTTTTAAGTTACTCTAAAATGTCGCGTTTTGCAAACATATTTTTATCGAGTATTTTTATTTGTAGTAATCTATTTTTTTATACGTGAATACAAACTTACTATTTTTTTGTTTCCAATGTGCCCTATTTTTTTATATTTCTATAGTATTACAATTTAGAAAGTATTTACAGAGTATTAAGAAAGTATTTTATAGAAACAAGGTAAGTTGGCCGGTGCTTGATGCTCGTTTTTTGGAGCATTTTTTGCCGATAAAATTCTCCCAATAGATACACCTTGACATTGGTGGGAGAGCTCAGTACTCAGAGGGTTTATCGTGAAACCTGTAGAGGAAGCCAAACGCGCGTTTAACATTTTTTAAGCTTTATAAGGCTCGTTTTATTAATATCTTTGCGTCTTTTTAATTGTCGCCAATGATTGTACTTTCGAAGTTACCGTTGTTATCTCGAACTGTTGATTCAAAGTGCGATTCTCGCGCGAAATGAAATATCGGTTCGTGATTGCGGAATTCGAGAGTGCAGTGCAAAGTGTCGCGAGTCCGTTTTTATTATTGCGTCGCGGATATTTTGTCACGTTTTAATTAGTTCGAGGGTGCCGTGTAAAGTTTCGCGCGTTCGAATTCAGAAGTGCCACACAAAATATTCGCGATCGTCATTAACCGTATTTTTTTGTAAGTGCAGTGCGCGAGTCTAACGAGCCTAAGAAGAAGACAATGACAATCTGAGAGAAGGAGCTGGCATAGGATGCCTCGGGCTTCGGCGGAACAACCTTGGGAGTAATTTATTATGTTTTATTAATGTATTATTTTATTAGATAATATATTATCTTTTATTAATCCCGTGCGTCTATTTCAGTTCGTTTAATTCGCTTATTTAAATGACTTAAATATAAATTAAAAACTTTTACCTTTTTTAAAAACCGTTATCTGAAAAGAAAGAATAATCTTTTTTTCACAGAAATATATAATTATTTTATAAAATATCTCTCTCTCTCTCTCTCTTTGTTTATTATTGTACATTGAATTTTATATTTGTTGTATGCAATATTAATGTCTTGAAATATTAATTATTTTGAGGACGCTGCTATAATTTAGTTTTATATTTGTATGTTACAGATCAACACATAGAGTTTCAAATATCAACTCCACTATTGCGTATCGATCGGTGAGTCGACAACTTTTACTTTATGGTAAAAATGCCAAGTATTAAATAAGTATATAGTATATCTTTATATATATTTAATTAAATAAGTACATGTATCTTAATTTTTTATTTTTTTAAACTTTTATTTGATGCACAAGTTTGTATACTTATTTATATATTTGGCGCGTATGTTTTTACTTATTTATTTTAGATAAAGTTTTTTATCCCGATACGTTTTTAGCGCTTGACTGCTCAGTTATAAATGACAATTATTAACATAATTAAACATGATATCTTTTAAATATGAGACTAGAAATGCGTATAACAAGTAGAAAAGATTATAGTTGAAAAAATTGAATATAGTTGAAAGAGAATTACTGAAATATATCTTATTACGGTTTCTGTACACGAAACTTTGATATATGTATATATGTCTCATTCTCTTTAAGCAAAGTTTACAGTCACAGCGATAGAGCGGAAAATACATTTATTATTTAATACTTTAGCATGTTTCATGATCGAGAGATCGCAGTCGTGTTAATTAGATCGTCGGGTGGTACAAAAACGCAGCCTGCACTTTCTTTCTATGAATGTCACAGAACAAAGAATATTTTCACAGTCATAGTTACGCGTCTGTGCGAAAATCTTGGCATGACATTTTCGACGAGTCGGGATTATAGACTTAAGGTCGCGATAAAAGCCGCCGAGAAGAAACGGGAAAAAGCTCGAGAAAAGACCGACCGGTGTGCCGCTTTTCGTAAAAGCGCAAAAATTAAAAAAATTGCAAAGCGAGAATAAATATGAAGCAGTGACGTACGTCTTCTAAGTGGAAACCCTCGCTTCTTAGAGACGCGAACGAGAATTTATGGTTTATGGAGCGTAATAAGTTACGCGCGAAGATTGGAAAGTACGAACGAGGGGGGGAGGGAGGGAGAGCATTACGCTTTTTATGGAAATGTCCGGCAAAGTTTACGGCACGCGTTTAACGAAACACCGTGTGTAGATTTCACGTCATACTGATAAATAGTCCGTTGCAACGATGCGGATTATATTGCAGTTGTCCAGGACTACAGATTACGTGCTTGTGCGAATCAACAACGCGATTGCCCGAAGAAACGTGGGAGCCACGCGCAGTAATAAAAATGAATGCGCTCCTCTGGTCAGTTTATCTACATTTTTTTGCCGTTTGCATTCATTCGGCGCGCATTGTTACATAATTCCGCCTTGCTGCATTGCTGCTGCCGACGGCTATATTGCTCTCTCGCAACGAAAAGTTATCCAAGTACCAGGTAGAAATATGACTTCGAGAATAAAATCCGAAAATACGAAATGCAAAGTCGATTTATAAATCTCACGCGTATTTTCGAGAAATTTTAAAACAAAATTAATGAAAAATACAATATAATATCTTAATCGATAATATATATTGTTTTTTGACGACGCGTTATAGATAATTCTTTTTATCTATTTCTGTCAGAAACGAAATAATGACAAGCATACCTATGTAACGTGCATTGAATATATCGATTGCTTTAGAAGCCGGAGATATCATATAAAGATTAAAGAGATAGCGTTGTGTTGTACTCACCGGATTGTGCTCTGTGCGCGGGTAAAGCGGGGGCGGGGGGCAATCCGGCGATGCTACAAAGCGTCTGTCCGCTGCCGTACTTGATGCTTCTGCAATGGCACGGCGTAGTGGGCGTCGTCAGCCCTTCGTTTCCCCTGACGGCAGCCCCGATCACTGAGATCTCGTCGAGCTCGTGTCCGCTGTCATAGTGCCATAGCCTGGTCGCGCTCGTGCTGGCCCCGCTGACGCCGACGCAGCTGTCGTCCCCAGCACCGGCGTCGGCACGATCGCCACCGGTGCCCCTGCCTCCCCCGCTCCGGCCCCTAAGCGACTGCACCAGCCGCTTGGCGCCCGAAGACATTCCACGGAGATGATCCAGCCTTCCGGTCTTCGTTTCCTCTTGTCCTTAGCCGAAACCGCCCGATTACACGCCCGGGGATATCCACCTGAAAGATCGCACGCGTCCGTTTTTTTTTAGTTACCGTGTTATCAGAAATAATATTAGATCGCTGCACAAGTTCCGTCTGTTGGAATGAAGATAAGAGAACAATGCAACTTCCAATAATGATCTATATTCACAAGATCGAATATTACCAGCGTTATTTATAATAGTTTTTTATGATTTTTCTCTGAATTTTTTCTACACTAGATTCATCTTTATGTGAAATTTTATAATATATCAGTAATAAGTACAAATATATATAATTTTTTTCGAATGCGATGGACACACAGAATTTATGCAGCAATCTAATGCAACGTGAATTTATCCTAATCTGCATCCTAATCTTTGTATTAATCGGAGATCTGTCGATAAGCGATTTAAACGGTGCTTAATTCCGATTATTGGTGTCTTGGCTGACTATATAAAGAAATATCTACTGATCGCATCACAGATATAAATAATGCTTCTGACAAATCACTCATAAAATTGAAATATACCGTTTTGCCTGAGGCTATATAACAATTTGGCTCGTATGAGATAAGAGTTTAGCTATTTTCAATTTCGACAGACATTTATGATACATGATCAGACAGAATCTGATGCATACATCTCCTTTAGTCTCTACTTTTTCGCTTTATCGATCTTGACTATGAAAAAGTAAAATGTGATGCTTAGAAGGACGATAACTTTTCATAATACTGATAGACTGTTTCCCCACTTTTGGGCTTATACTTTGATAAAGAAAACAGTTTTCAACGATAAAATATTTCATGCATATATTAAAAAAAATTTCTAACATTGTTACATCTTAAAAATAAATAGATAAATGATATAATCTAGACACAAAAAAATAACAAGATGTGACGAAATATAATATTTATTTAATATAATATAATAAATATTATTAACATATTAACAGATCACTGATTTTATGCCGTGTATACGATATTCGAACACGGGAGCATTGTTGACGACTTTTAAAGTTGAGGGAGGATTACGAGGGTTAAAGTCCAAACGTTAAGGGTTTGCGGCCCCCTAGCCCGTCCATACACGACGAGAACCGATAAGCCGGGTGGTGGCTGGAGTATGAGAGGGGAGACACTCGCGTTTGACAAATACGCGACGGATTACACTTACCACGTGGTGATAGCCGCCGCGCAGTGATAGCTCTGCTCTCTCTTTCTTTCCTGGCTACGTTTACCGCTAACGGTAACGCCGCGCACAATCGCGACCGGTGTCACCGAGCGTAGCACATGATCGCTCTCTCTTGATCCCCGGTACGATACGGCGCGCGATTCACACGCCAATGATGCTCCGTTTCCGGTGTCCCGCTTCCGGCGTTCCGCGTTATCCTCACGATTGTCAATCGAGCCGCTTGAGCGTTGCCACGCACCGACAATCCCGTCGGCAGATCACCGTGGGAGGTCGCGCGACGATCGGCGGCATGCCACGTAACGTTCGTCGAGCACGTCGCTTTCGACGCCGGTCGATCGCACGCACGATCGCGCTAACGATCACCAAGGGTGGCGGCGATCCGGGCGGCGCACTTTTTACGAACGGTGATCGACAGGCGTACGAGGCACCGCGAGAAGACGTCGCTCGCCACGCGATCGTCCGCGATCGTCCTCCCATCGAGCGACATGCCGCTGGATTACGTTAAACCCGATGGCGTCGATCACGCACGATTTCACGACCATCCGATTTCACCCTTCGCACCTTCGCACCTTCCGCGACGCCCAGGCACCGACGACGAACGAGGCCCCGTGCTCGTTTCTCGTCCTTTCGCGCACACTCTCTTTCTCGCTGCCCGGAAGAACGCCCGGTGGTCCGATATTGACGCGGACAAACCCTCTTTAAGGGACGTGCCGACGTGCAACAAGTGTCTCGAGCGATGACATCCGTCTCACGTGCCGCCGCTGCGCTTCCCTCTCGCCCTTACTCCACATTCAACCACTTTCGCCGATGCACGCGATACTCTTCATTCGATCCATCGACAGATTTGTCCTCGAAACACGATGTACAGCGCGACGGTACCTGGGAAGAATAGAGAAAGCGTCGGTTATTCGGTGATTCGCAACGACGGTTACCGGTTGAAAAATGTGTCGGGAAATATATCAGCATTTAAACGGATATATCGTTGCGTTTTACGAACGCGTGTGAAATTATATTCCTGGAAGAAGCTGACGTATGGAATTTTCACGAACCCTTTGTGAGAGGCCTCTTTAAGGGTTAAACACTCAGCGTTGATGGAGAAGTAATGAGCAGGAGATTAGGATGCGGCCTGCCGAAATTGCTAATATCGATTATGTCGAACCTCAAGTGCGCTGGGGCGGACTTCATACGTTCGTTATACTCGGATTAATCTCAAGGGAATTAGAATGGCAAATCGACCGTAATGACTCGACATATCTCAAACCGACATTTAGGTTCTTCTTGGCCAGATGTGACGAATATCTCATCTTATATTGTTCTATATTATTTTAAATAATAATTAATGTAATACATACTACTCTTAATAATTAAGGAAAGTATACGGGCTTTAGGATAATCGTAACGTGAATTATTATGATATATTCTCTTATTCACAGTTCTTTGATTATTGTAAATTATAAGAGAGATATGTCGTATATGTATTCGGTCATCCATTTATTGAAATATCTCAACGGACAACAAATTCGAATTATCCATTGTACTATTTCACATTCTTGTGGATCGATCGATAAATAATTAGCCAGCGGGTGCGTCGCGATGCTTGATCTTCGAGCAGCGCGTTAAATTGATTTCGCATAACGAAGAACAATGGCTGTCGCATACGGGATGAATATTAGGAGCCCTTGCACAGCATCGGATAAATTATGTAGGCAACGAGAGTCTCGTTTTATTGCCAGCGGGGTCGTCGTGCTGCAATCCGGGCGTAAACTCGACGGGCTCTCTCATATGGAAATTGTAACTTGAAAGTATAATATGGAAAAAAATATCCATTGGTGGTCTACGTTACCAGGAAGTACGTTTGTTTTAAGCTTAAAAAAATTTCGGTATAGAGATTCCAAGTGTACTTATTCCAGGGAAGTGGCAGTTCTCTTGGAAGCTTAGAAATTTACTAGGTCACGATGTACGGGCGCGCTGTGATATAAATCTCTCGTCCTTTGAAAAATTTATCTCCTAAAGATTAAGACAAGAATCGTAGATAAATAATCTAAACGGATTGTTGCTAAATATTATATAAGAACCAATATTTTTTGGTTGCTAAGTTTATTGTTTAGTTTCATCGACCAAACAGATGCAACTTTAATCATGAAATTGGAAACGAAACAGACGTTTCCGTTTCCAATTTCATGATGCCAAAATATATAGAATTTCAAGTGGAAATCATATTTATGATATATGCAACAGATACACGCAAAGAATATACCTTAATATAGATTAATGAAATAAATATAAATTAATATTTTACGTTGTTTAGTTGATTTGGAGTAAATAAATTAAAATGCCCAGTGGTACTCACAGGGCAATCTCATTAGCGCTTAATCTTAAACTACTACAATGTTTCAGATAATGCACTGTTCTGGGTAAGTGCTTAATCAGAACGCTATATCTGCGTATCGCCCCGAAATGCTTTCGTGTTCATAGCTTCATAATAATTTATACACTCTTCATGGTATAAATTATAAGATATTTCAGGGGATATATTAGAAAAACTCAAGTTAAATTGCATAATGTGTATGCATATATTTCATTAGCAAAAATTAAAATAATAATTAATTAAAATAATAATTAATTAATGCTTTAAATAAAATACTATATATCTATTTAATCTCTATATTATTGTTTGTATATTTATATGTTTATTAAACGCCTTTAACGAAAAATAAAGCAAATTTTCAAATTATCGATTCAATGATACTCTATGTCTTATTATATTATTTCATGTTTATTAGCAGGTTTAGTCGATATAATACAGCAATTTCTGATCGAAATCTGTTTAAATTTTTTGTCGAAATTCACAGGAAATGGCTCGTGCACGCTCAATGTTTCCGTTGAAAATATTCCACAATGAAAACGGAATATTCGTTTGCAACGACCGTCATAAACTGAGGGACTCTATTTCCCTGATATTTTTTGTCAATCGTGTTCGCGCGATCGGAAGCGCGGTGGGTTGATCAATATCGAAACAAGATTCGGTTCAGCGAGATTTTCTACATCATAGCGTTCGATAAAAGCACGAAAACTATGTAATGATGAGTTTGTGATAATTACATACATGCATACACATGCATTTGATCCATTCCAATTTTTGCGAATTTTGTATTTCATAGTAAAATTATAAAAAATAAATGGAAAATATTTTTCGGCTTTTAAATAAATAAATTTTACAGTAGCATACACATTACGCACATTTTATAGAGGGACACTGGGTCTCAAAATCTCATCCTGTGAATTTTACCACAATTTTGCTGCATGGTTGCGCGAAATGATCACGATTTATAGGGGAAATTTTAACACGCTTCTCGAAGGTACATCGACCGGAGCGAAGGGATTGCGCTCTGCAACATCACGATGGCGCGTATACGCTCTGCGGCTGTAAATAGTCGGGTCCTTTAGTCGCCGACAATAAATGCAGATACTGCAGTCTTTCACTTTACGGTCGATGCGTCTATGTTAGCGAGTTTACGTGCGCGCCGCGGCGTCAGCCGATTGCAACGAGATGCAGCGTTGCAACAGAGGACGAATGACTCGGTTCGGTTAAACCTAGTGATTTGCACGCGTGCACATCGATGAATTGAAACGGAAATCTCCGATGGACGAGTGCAAGGCAGATGGACTTGCAAACGGCGAGAATTCGCCCGCGCACGTGTAAATGTAACGAATTTTTTATCACCTATCGCGCTCACCGCTAATGGAAGTTTTAATTTTTCGTGTGCGTTAATACGCAAAAGTAACATACTTTCCAGCGCTAACAATATTGCGTAAGCGATATTTTACTTCGGAAATATCAATTACGGCGAATCACCGATACGATCCATTGGGTTATTCAAATTGAGCAACGTGTGACCGCAGCGGGCATAATTCGCGAATTGATTTCGAAATTCGACGCGGAATAGTATTTTCGAATGCATAAACACAGCTTTTACGATCGAAAGAAGAACGTGCGCAGAATAAATTAGAATTCAGATAGGAGACAAACACGTCGGATTTGAAAATTATTGTATTTTAAAAAGCGCAGATAAAAATGAGATAAAATTTGCGTTAAAAATATTTCAACTCATGTAAAAAAAAAAACTGTCCTGTTTTTATTTGCCGAGTGCGTCGAGAATATCCATTCAAAGCCGTATCCTAATATGATATTTTCGGGACAAATTATTTTGAAAATTACATTTCAAAACTGCAAAAAACTGTTAGGCAACCCGAAACAAATGATGATGAACGCGAATGTTTTACAATTCGATGAGTCGCCCGATGGTTTTCTAAAACAAAACAAAAAAAATAGGAAAAAAAGGAAAAAAGAAAAAATGCAGAAACACGTATACGGGTTACAAACGTTAACGACACATTCTGCGTGCACACTTTGTTTGTCGAATTGATCGACTTTGTTAAATTAAACTCGGTATACAGTGTCGAAGCTTCTCATAGGTCCATTTTTACACATCGGACTCAACTCGCGTATAGCTCGCGTATCAAAAGTCACATGGTGCGGATTGCAAAACAACCGAAAAAAAATCTGGCGAAAAGAGAGAGAGAGAGAGAGAGAGAGAGAAGAAGAGGAAAAACAGAAACTGCGTGAATAGAATTCCGCGAAAATCGAGTGGAAGCGGCCAATAGACTAACATAAGTGAAAAGAATGTCAACTATTCTGACGCGGTGCACTCCAATGTAGTCTCGGCTGAATGCTGGTTGAAAGAGGAACTTTAACTCTTTATACTTGTGTCTAAACATATGCCATGTACGTTGCGTTAGGATCAAAAATATCCTAGTAATTAAAAATATAATTTTAAAATATGGATGTGAACGAAACAATCGTAATAGAACCAAGAAAGAGACGATTCTTCGTGTAAAAATAAATTACAAATATACGAAAAATTTTTCTGTACAAGGCTTTGTTTTCGAGAAAATTGGTTTTAAAAATTAGAACATTATTAATAAATCATTGCGCTTTTTAAAGCTTGGATTAAGCTTAATCTTCAACGATCTTATATCATACTTTATCTAATTCGTCTCACTTATTTAATGCAATCCTGTATAATGGAGGGAGCATTAAAAATTTTCGTTATTAATTTATGATGTTTTTATGCGGATATATTAGAAATTTAGACAATATGTTGTACTAGATTTCTATCTTATATCTTCGCTCTTATGCCAAAACCATGAATGTGCAAATGTTTTGTGCTATAATCAGCGATGTGTAATATTTACTTCAATATCAATTGTATATAATACTAATGTAATATAATGTAATATGCATAATGTTTAAATAATGTGAAGAAATTACGAGTATAAAACAAAAGAACATAATTTATCGAAGCAATTTAAATTTTCAAATTGCAATAACTTAGAACTACAAAATTGCATTCGTGGTTTTAGTATAAGGGCAAGGATATATAAATCCACGAAAGCAATTTAATGTGCGGTAGTTAAAGAATTAAAGTTTATCTATACTTATTTCAGTTATTTTTATTTCTCTCTCTCTCTTTCTCTTTCTTTTAATGAAATTATATTTATAAAATTTAATTTGAAAGTCTTGTTGTGATACGAAATACTTGGTCGGTTATTGTGCTATTGCGTGTGAAAGAGCAACCTCGGTAAAAAGCTTTTTGTGTGTTCTAGAATGGCTTTGAAATAACGCACTGACTTTTTCCGCGGTATTGCAAAACGAAAAAATACTGCAAAATTATCAATTTTACTTGTAATTTCGGTAAAAATAAATAAATAAAAACATTATAGACGACAAAGAATTTACATATTTCTATATTTTATTATTGCCGTATCAAAAATGACAAGAAAAAAAGTACATTTTACTTATTATAAAATTTAAGCAT